ACAAGGGCAGTATACTGTGTACACATTTTCAATGGAGGGACAGAAAGCTTTTGGACTAATCTTAAATAAAAAAAGCTACATAATACTGTCACTAAATAATTAATCATTTCTGTTTCGTATAATATACATCATTTGGCTAGAGATGTTGACTTTGGAATTATTAACATGTAACATTTTAATTGAATTCTGCTGAAATGAACATTTAGAATGAAGAATTAGTTCATTTTGCTGTATAAATCAGAGTCAGTAAAATGATCAGAGCATCCCATCACTAGCTACTAGAGCCATATACGTAGTGTGAACATTATATAAAAAACTCACTGATTCTTTTGCAGGTGTGCAGTACAAACACAGCTGCCTTTCTGACCTCTTCATCACTGGCCTCGGTGAGCAGCGAAATCATAATTGGCAAACCTCCAGCTGATAACAACTGAGATTGATGCTCTACTGCATAGACAGAGAACAGACAGAATAATTACAATATACAAGATTTGTATCAAGATTTCAGTGCTTGAAATGAAGCAGTACTGCTATTTAAACAAATACTGTTAGTCTATTTGCATTGCTAAGGCTCTTTCATAATATAACTATAACAATAACAACATTTGCATCAAAACCAATGCACAATTTAATTCTGTTTATTCTAAGCATCCGCTACAGATGTGTCATCTGTCACTTTAAATGCACAAGCGCTTTAAAGCAGGATGGAAACTGATTGATTGTCAATGTTTTTATCACTATCAGCTGGAACAAAATCGTAATTAAAGTGATTCCAAAGATATTGTTCGTGCTATTATCATTGTGTTGTGGATTCCGCTATTCTTTTATATTTAGAATGCAGACTTTTAAAACTATATCTTTCTCGTAATAGTTATCGCTCTTGGTGTAAACAGGCCTTTAAGCACCCATATGTGGTTAAATAGATGCTGAAAAAAATATTGATTTAAGAATGAAGACAACTCGTAATTCATTCGCGAATACTCATTCAATTTAATATTATTTGAAATGTCTGTTAAGCTTGGCTATGCGAAAACTTTTGACATAACTTGACAAAAATCCCTGGAGCTGTCTAAAGCCCTCTGGATGACACATTTTGCTTCATCAGATGGATGTTTTCTAACAAATAAACTGGGATATCTGGGTGCAGGTAATGCAGAAAAAGAGTACACAATATTTATTTACTGTATACTACCGACATTGTAACAATAAAAAGCTGGTTTAAATTCCTTTAAGTGCATCTGGCTAATTGCAGAAATTTGTTGAGAATGATAAAAGGACATTTTAATCTAGAGTTCACTTTGCAGGCACTTATTTACAGGAGCTTTGCTTGAGTATGAACTGGATTCAACTCTGATTTCCAATCTGCATACTCCAATATAGAAGGGTCTATCACAGATTAAAGTTTGATCATTATAGTCATAGGACTGTCATAAGAACTACCCAGACTGAGTAGTTTCTGGCGAGCTTTTAAAGTAGGCATTAGAGAACTGTTTTTTTTTTTCTTGGATAATTGAAGAGTTCAGATGATCATTCTAGAAGAAAATTTCAAATGGCACTTAGAGGCTTTTGCATCTGAACTCTTCAATTCTTCCCACACACAAAAGTTTAAAATGTTTTAAGATGCATCATCAAAATACAATTTCATGATATACAATGTCCCAAATTGCCTGCCTGCCTGCTCTTACTTGATACTTTAAAAAAAAATTATAGTGCAGCATATAAATTTTGAATTTGGTGGAATGCATGTAATTTACCAGTCTTTTACCAACACACTCACCACAGGCATCCGTGAGGTGTCCAATCGTCAGCACCACGGCAAGCCGGTCTTGTTGGTCAAGGTTTGGGCTGGACAACAGACACAACAGCCCTGGAATAACCCTCAACTCTGATAAAGAAGATACCAACTGTTCTGAGACAGAAAGAGGAAGGAAACAGGGCATTTAAAACAACCCAATATGGTTGTCTTGGGGTGTGCATGCATTCATCTTACCATTGTTTGAGATGCAGGCCGAGAGTGTTTTAGTGATAACCGTTGCCATCTTACAAGCAGCAGCACTGTCTGCTGACTGAGACAAAACTCTGGTAAGAGTGTCTGAGAGTGAACTCAGTCCTCCCACTGACACAAAATACTCCTGAGCACAAGCTGAAAATAAAAGCATTCATGAGATGGGGAAATTAGCACATAAGATGCCATTATATGTTATTTTGTGCTGATGTGCTTTGAGCTTACGGTTGTTTGCCACAGTCATGCCAATAAATGAGCATATAGGCTGTGCCAAATCTGCCCTGGGCAATGCCACTTCATGCAGCCAGGTCTTCACCAGGGGAAACACATGCATGCATAAGTTCTGATTCTCCTCTGTCATAAACAAATACACGGAAGATTGTCAAAGTGTTCAATTGCATGTGTACAGAAAAATCTGTCTCTCAATCTACATAACAGTTTGGGTTTTAATGATGGTAAATGGGAGAGAAGGGATAAAGAATATAACCATACCATTCTGAGGGTTGTTGACAGCGCCACAGAGAGCACTAGACACAGTGGCCCACAACTGTAGCTGCTCAAAAGAGTCATTGGAATCTGGAAAACTATACCTGAAATAGCATTGAAAATAAACTGAAATCTGGTCCTGTCGAGCAGCAAAGAAGTGTTTAAGTACATTTCCAGATGTTTATCTGGATTTCTGTGAATCACTTTAACAAACACCAGACAGTATTTGAAATATTCCTCTTCCACACCAAGTAGGGAAGCATATTACATTTTGTTTGGGAATGTTTTCATTCATCCAGTCTAGGAGACTTAAAAGTATAGCTCACCAAATATATGAAACTACCCGCCCTCGTGTTGTTCCAAACCTGTATTACTTTCTATCTTATATGGAACACAAAATAAAATTATTTGGAAATATCACAGGAAAAAGTAATAAAGGTTTGGAACTACTATACATGATGGTGAATAAATTATGGCAGGATTTTTTGGGTGGACAATCCATAATTTAAATTTAAATTTACTTTCCATTGAAGATGCTTTGCTGTTCACCAGAATGGTTTTGTTCTTGACATTTATTATCATTAAAATATTGTCACGTATTCTCCCCAGGAGTTCCCTCTCTATAGGTGTTAATTGCGATAAATCTATTTAAACATCATGCAGATGGACACCATAGACGTTGCTTTTTCAGTTTCGCTGTGATGTGACATCACAGATTTAAATGTAAAGATTTAAAATAATGGCAGATAATTAAGCAATACCTGAACAAACTAAACCTAATATGTGTACCTGAACAAATTGAGCAAGGTTTCGATACATCTGGAGGTCTTAGCAAGAGTCTGTCCACATCCTGGAACACAAAACACAGATAAACAAACCATTTGTGAATTGACAACATATTCTCTACACACTCTATAAAACCACATTATCAGCACAGGAATGGTCTCATTGGATGTAAGTTTTATGGTGAATCTCACTGTTGTTGGCAACCAATACAGACAGCATGTACACCGCTACTCTTTTCTCAGTGAGTGGCATTTTCTCTTCCAGATGCTGTGCTAAGTAACGAAACGTCTCCTCTCTGCACAGTGTCTGTTTACAGCTCTCTGCAGGGAGAAAATGTGTTTATAGTTAAATATTACATCTCAAACAATATATAAATATATATATTATAAACTGCATACAAACCTTGCAATTCAGCTAAGGATGCAAGTGTAAATAGAGCGGTCTCTTTAACCTGAGAGAAAGTGGTGGACTTTGACAGGTTATAGATAAAGGAAATTCCTCCAATCTCTCTGAAGAACTCCACATACTGATCTGATTCAGAGAAATCATTAAAGACAATCAAAAGTGTTATTGAAGTCAAATATTTTCAAGTTTTATTGAGGCAAGTCATATTTTTGTGTCATATCAGTATGTTCTGAGCTGTAAATCAGACCATTTTGTTTGCAGATTGAGATGATAGTGAGAAGAGCTTGTTTCTGTGAGCCAGGCCATTTCATCTGGTATTTCAGACATTCCAGTAACAGACGCAAATCTGTCTTAGTAGCTGAAAACGTGAACACTGTTAAATCAATTAGCTTGTAAAGCAAAATACATACTTGGATCTGTGCAATAAAATACTATGTAATATAAATATATATATATGTTGCCACTTCAGACTAGGTACATTTCAACAGAAAACAAACCAGAGATGGTAAAGTATTTTACTAAAAACTGAAACAGTAACCTCATAATAACTTTGATTAGCCATTAAAACATTAGATAATTGTTTACAGATTAAATTTAATAATACACACAAGTATGAATAAATTATATTTACAGTTATGCATTTGTCAGCTATCTATCAATATTATGTTATGTAACTGTGTTTGCTAATGTTGTTAATAAAAGTTATCATATTTGTTTTATAAAATTAAACTTATTGTTATGATATGATGTTGACCTTCCATTTTTCATTTCAGTGGACTCATTAAACCATCCTTTCCACCAATGCGCTCAAAGTGTCACTATATCCTGCAAAAAAAATAAATAAATGAATGTTGTTAGAATATGGTAACGTTATGTTGAAAAATATTTCGTCAACTTCACTGGACGCCACACTATTTACCTTCACGATTGAAGGGTTTGGTTTCCTTACATCATGTCCACGGACCACAATCCTAAAAGAAACGTTTTAGTTATGATTAGGCCAAATCGTTAAATTCCTTCAGTTCTCGCCTTCATTTTATTGATTGATTAACTGCATTTCAACGGAAGATCTTCATATTCCCGCTTGTGTGACGCTTTTTTTTTTCTTTTTTTTTTTTTTTTTTGAATCACGTGATTTGACCTGCTCGGTGAAAACAGCAGAGTTCATGAAAATCACAATTTTATTAACTTATATTATTTATTTTGGAAGCACATTTATATGTTTAGTTACGAAAAAACACAGTGTATATATATTATATATATAATTCTGTAAAATGTTGAGCACACATAGGACTGTAGGGGGCGCTGGGATCGGCATGTTTGCAACCAGCTGCGATGAAACTGAAAAGCACTGCAGAAGAAGAATCATTCGGCGAGTAGCTGTCAGGTATGTCTTTTTGACTCAGCATTTCACTCATATATTTTAATAAAGCTGCTCTTTGAGGGAATTGTTCCACTGACAGTTCAACCATATCATATACAATTACACAATCTGCAGACAAACATAAATGCAATGTAACATTAACCATTGTGTCTGTCAATTTTATCACGAAAGTCGGTATGTTAGCTTGTAAAGCTAGCACGTTTCACTTTAAAACCATGGTTTAAATGGAAACTGCGTTTATACGTATGCCTTTATCGATTTTATTTCGACTCTCACAGATATGTGAAATCGACGATGTTGGATTTATTACATTAGACGCATCTGCATTTTAAATGTTTTGCTTGATGTAAGAGTTGGAATAGTTCATAACTGTGTCTATTAACATTTTTGTTGGTTATATCACTGACGTGAGCCTGTAAAAACAACTATTTTTGCAACTTTTAATCTGCCCAACATATTGCTTTTCATTTCAATTTAAGACTGTCTGTTACTAAATGAGATCTCACATTGTGTTTTCCCAGATGCTGGAGTTGTAGACTGCTTCAATCACTGCATCCAGGCAGTAATGTCTGGCTATTTGCATTCAAGACTCCTCTTGTACACTGGCGGAAGACATCTTTCCCGTTTCTTTGCAGCCAGCCAGCATGTTGTACCTGTTGCACAGTTTAGAACCTGCCTGTTCCCTTCTCAAGCCCGGAGCTTTTCCTCCCGTAGCGGTCGATCAGATGGAAGCTCAGGACAGGATGGAGAGAACACACTGCGTGCTCCAAGACATGACATGGACTTCCAGCTGAGCCGGCTGCAGATCAATGCTGTTCTGTGTGCCAATGAGCAGTCTGTTCGTATTCCAGAATTTGATGGCCGTGGTGGTCCCAGTCCGGTGCTGAGGTTTGAGAGTAACCAGCTTTCAGCAAACACTCCGCTAGAGGACCGACGCAGCAGCGCCAACTGCCTGCGGACACGTGGCATGCTTTTTGGCGTGTTTGATGGACACGGCGGACATGCGTGCGCTCAAGCGGTCAGCGAGCGCCTGCCTTATTACATTGCTGTGGCGATGATGGCAGAGTCTCTCCTGGAGGATCTAGAGGCCGCCATGGAGACCGTACGACCCGTGCCTCCCATCCTGCAGTGGTATAAGCACCATAATGACTACAACTACAGGGAGTCAGCAGCCCTCTATGTCGAACATTTGCGTGTTTACTGGCAGGAGCTTCTGGCAAGTGAAGAACACGGTGACGGCATGCGCCTTGATGATGCTCTCGGCTATGCATTCCAACGACTCGACGCGGATCTTTCCCTTGAGGCGCAGGTGCCGCTCGCAAATGACCTGATGCGGAACACAGCCATCCAGGCTGCCTTCGCTGGCTGCACAGCTTGTGTGGCTCACGTTGGACCAGGGGGTGTGCATGTTGCAAATGCAGGAGACTGTCGGGCAGTGTTGGGTGTCCAGGAGGATGATGGGAGCTGGAGTGCCCTTCAACTCACACAAGACCACAACGCTGCCAATGTAACCGAGCTGGAGCGGATATATCGGCAGCACCCGGCCAGTGAACGGCAAACCGTAATCGTAGATGACAGGCTGCTCGGGGTCCTGATGCCATTGCGTGCTTTCGGCGACGTGCGCTTTAAGTGGAGTCGTGAGCTACAGCAGAGTGTTCTAGAGAATGGAGACTCGGATTTAGAAGCGTTGAATCTTTATCAGTATGCTCCACCTAATTATCTCACCCCACCTTACTTGGAGGCCACACCAGATGTCACATACCACCAGTTGCGGCCTCAGGACCGATTTTTGATTTTGGCCTCTGATGGTCTCTGGGATGAGATGAACAATGATGAGGCGGTCAGGCTTGTGGCGGAACATCTGACGGGTATTCATCTACAGGCTCCGGTTTCAGCCAGCCAGCTCAACTTGGGACAAATGCAGCAGCTGTTGTTGCGCCGACGGGCCAGGGCAACACCCGCTTTGGATTTGAATGGAGCCACACACTTGATTCGCCATGCGCTGGGCACAAATGAGTATGGTGAGATGGACCAGGAGAGATTGGCAACCATGCTGGCTCTGCCTAGCGATTTAGCACGCATGTACCGTGATGACATCACTGTCACTGTGATTTACTTTAACCCGAACTTCAACAAAACTAAAAACTAATAAAGAACAACATTTTAAAGTTTCATACATATACAATTAGATTTGAAGAATTGTTTTCTGCTGAGATTTTTTTTAATGCATTTGTAGGCAATTTTTTTGTCTAATATCGTTTCATCCAGTGCACTGCATACACCTCAAAATACCTGCAGGTGACTTTAATTTGAGTTTGCAACAGATTGTTTCATTTTTTTTTGGGAAAATGTGAATCCAAACAATGGGTAGAATTCACTGGTTCATTTTAAATGACACAAGGTTACAAATGTGAAGGTACATTAGGTCAAGTCTTTATCTATGTAGTTTGTTTTATTATATTAGGCTGTTTTTTTATTTAATGTCTACAAATCGTTAATCGTTATAGTTATACAGAGTATATCTGTTCATAGAAGTGGTCATTTAAGTGTAATTTTCACAAAAGTAGAATTAGAATAATAACAAAAATGCTTTATTCCATAGCTGTTCCATTGGACATTAATATCACTTGCATTAAGTTTAAGTTGCTGTGCAGCCTGAAGATTATATCAATTTAACACACTTGGCTTCTGCTGTAAACGATTTGTGTCTGAGCTGTTTTGGCTTGTGCTATGAAGACATTGATTTTCACTTTGCACTTTGTAGTGACTATAGGTTGTATCAAAGTACCACAGCAAATTTCTTGGCAATGGTTCAACTGATAATATTTGTAGTGCAAAGTATGAAGGTCATAGGGGCCGGTTTTATTATAAGTTATGTGTCAACATTACATCAACTTGAAAGTTCATTTCAAAATCACTTTGCGGAGAAACGTTGTCTTTGTCTTACATGGTGTGTGTGTAGATTTATGAAGTTAAACGTGCACCATATTTTCTGGTTATAAACAATGCTGTGATTTTTATATTTTTGTTAATATTTGTTCTGTTCTAATTTGAGTGACAGACTTCAGAGACTCCTTTTTCAGAAATTTAAAAATGGGCTAATATATTCACTGCAGAATTTTGTCTTTGTATTTTTATGATGTCTGTTGATGATCTTGTTATTAAAATGTTTAATCCGAATCATCACATTAATCTGTTGATTTTTCTGAATGGCGCAAAGATTGAAGCAACCACAGAGCCTTTTAAGTCACATTGTAGTCACTTAACATGGAAATATTATGTTATGCCTTATAAGGTTAACAAGGTTACAATGAACAAGGTTATTAAATAGAAGATGCTGAAACATCTCAAAAGGATTCATATAAAGTAAAATATACATTTTACTCTTTGCATTAAATTCTGTTGTTATTTTTATCTGACTTGGAATGACATTTGTAGTCAGGTATGTAGAATTTTTAAGCTGATGCTTAAACTAATTTATCTGTTAGACAACAATAATAGGCACACACATAACAGTTAAAATGAATTGAACATTTATATATATATATATATTTGTTTAAATTTGTGCAAATACGTAAATCTTCTCAGTATAACGCCATTAATCATCAGGCCACTAGAGGTTCTGCGGATTGACCTCAGCCGATGATCTGCGCATGCGCGTTCCGCCCGCGGAAATTCAAACCTTCGAGCTCAGGCAGCTGACAGGCAGACAGTCGTTTGAAAACTCCACAAACTCTGACACGGTTCTTTTACTGAGGTAAGATTAAGTCAAATATATTTTAACGATAAAACTGTCAAAAAAGACTTAATATATTTAAACGCATGCCATAGTCTTCACTCTTTACGACTCCGACCATTTTGAAATTCGTATTTTTAACAACGTTCAACAATGATTGCTTGCTAGCAGCGCATTGGCCTCTTAAACTCGATTAATGACAAATGTTGTATTTCCGATCGTTCAGATTAATCCGTAATCTCAACGTCAACGGTCGTAGTTTATTGTTGTTGACATGAAGATTTGAAGTGAAACTATGAATTGTTCTTCTGTAAGTTACTATACAAAGTTAGTAACACTTCTATTAGCAGCTATGTCGAATTGCAAATAGTCTAGCATTCGTGTAATCCACATACAGCTGATTTAAGACTGGACCGTTTCTTTGTCTTCAATATGTTGTAAAGTCTCAATTAAACTTAATTTTGTTGAACTTGACGCTGTTTTTCAACTGTCAGGTGAAAAGATGGAAAATCAAAAGAGACCGAGAGATCCACTGGAGGAAAACCCTTCAACTTGTAGTGGTAAGAAGACTCTCCCCTCCTTCATGTTTTATATACAAAAGCCATTGTGTTACTTACCTAGACACGGCATTTATGATTGTATTCTTTTGTTAACTGTTGAAAAGTCTAAGATAGAGCACCTTGAGTTGATTAATTTTCAGCTGAGCTTTATTGTTTATATACACAGATTATATGACACTGTCAGTTTATCATTAGGCTACTTAATGTTTTCTAGAACTTGCAAATGTGTTGAAGAAAAGGCGGTTGGCAGGGGGAGATGAGAACCTGGACCCCACCAAATCCCCTGCCAGGACACGCTTGAGATTGGCAGAGCTAGAGGTGAAACCAGACACTCCAGCCATATCCTCCATCCGTTCCAGGGTCCAGCAACTCAGCCAGAGACGAGATGGTGAGAATTTGGATTGATTGTTCTGCAAAATTAATCTGCCAACTCAAATATATTAACTTTTAAACAATCTTTAGCAGTTTTTCATGTCTTTTAACTTGCAAACTGATTTTCCATTACATTCCAAAATCATGTTGACCAAATGTGAATTTGTATTTAAAATCTTGATGTTAAAATGTCCATGTTATACATTAACATTCTCTTTTTATAACGCATGCTCATTTTATTTTCTCAATATTTTTAAAAATTGTCTTGTCTATATGCTCAATATGAGGTTTTTATATCATATTTTCGATTTTTGGTAATGAATTGCCTTTTTTCTGATTGGTCAGGTGGGACTGGGTTAGTCCAACGCTGCCTGTCTGACCCTGGGTCTGAGGGTTGCATCGATGGCTTGACATCTGCGGTCTGTCACATTGGTGAGTATTTTCTTTCACTCAGGCACACTATGCTTACACACTATGCTTCTTTATTTACTGCATCATGTATTATGCCAAAGATGCTCTTTAATTGTGGCCAGCTTTCTGAATGTGTATTTTTATGAAAGGTGAAGGAGAGTTTAGCTCTCGCCTACAGCGCTTCAAAGCTCCAACGCCTCTGAACAGCCCTGTTCGCTCCTCCCCCTGCACACGCAATCTCTCCAGCTTTGTGCATGGGATCCAACAGCAGTTGAACGATGCAGTGACACCCAGCAGTAAAGAGGCCTCCCGTATCCGCCAGGTAGATCTGTCCAACCCACCTGACCTTTTTTTCTGACTATTTAATCCTTCAGAAACACATTACTAAGAGCAGGATTTGTGTAAAGTAACGAATCAAAAATGCTCACGTTACTGCTCTCACACTAATTTTTTTTGGAATGTAATGGTACTTTTACTTGTATATTTTTTTCAGCACTTCTTGTTACTAATACCAACTCTCTCTTGTGCAGGCACGCAAGGATGAGTTGCGTTTATTGAAGGTTCAGCCAGTGGCAGAGAACATGTGGTTGAAGAGGAGTTTGTCTGACTCTTCCCTCACTGAGGTGAGCCAATCAAGTTATGATGTTTTTGTGTTCCTTGTGGAATCTTGTCTGGTTCTAGGGCATTTAGAAGTTTAGATCAAAAGTATATGATCTCCATTTTCCCAGAGGGCATCTCCATCTACATCCTCTCCCTGGGTTTACAGGAAAACTCGAAAACTCCAGTGGCCTCCATTACAGCCCGGGAGTGTGAGCATGTATTTGAGACAACTTGTTGAAGTGTATTTGATTTTTCAGCTCCTACAACCAACCCTCTACAATGCGTGTAAATCACTCGCACATGCGAGTAAATTTCACTGTGGGCGACTAAATAATTTCAACCATTAGCCATTGGCTAAAACAATCTTAGATTTTACTCGCCAGTTTGTGTGTTAGATGCCAAGTATAAGTTTAGCATAGATATATTTTCATTGGCTAAACACTGACTGAGCGCTTGAGTTTCGTTTTCCGTCAAGCGATCTGTTTAATATTTCAAATTCAGCTCAGCGTACCTGTATTTGAAGTACCGTAAACTGTAGTGTGAAGGCGCACGACTCGCTGCCGCGTTTCTCACAAACACAAAGAGAGAGAGAAAGTCTTGCATATCACGCAAAAATGATGCGCAAACGATGTTCTTACTTGTATTTTTCTGTCAAAATAACTGAGTTCATCTCGAATTATTCAGCTTTTAAGAACAAGCAGAAGATATGTCGGTTTCTCCGGAACTAATGCGCAAACGGCAATTTAATTGGATGGCACTCATACCTTTTTTAAAATGAGCAAATCAGAGCGAATGGATGCTGACAAGGTGAACCCAAGGTGATTCATGAACCCAGCAGCTCATGAGTTGTAGGCCTATCCTTTTTTCTTTCTTTTTTTTTTTCTATGCTTGTATATTTTCATTATTAGTTTTAGGATTATCTTATAATAATAATAACTTATCAATTACTATTCTAATAGCAGTGTGCAGGTGGGAGGAGCGTAGAGTTGAAAATAGGAGTTGGTCACAGGTGAAGAAGAAATGGTTTGTGTTTGCCGTTCCAAATTGTGGCAACAGAATGCGAAAATACAAGAACCTAAATCTTGGTTCCGTGAAAAATGCCGTTCCGTGGGCTAAGACACTCTTCACACACTACGCTCCTCCCACCTGCGCACTGCTATTTACCTTTTTCCAGCTACAGCTGAGTTCCCTCACAACTGCCATTTTAGCTGAGTGGGAGCTCTGGGCATTAGCTATAGCAGCTCTGTGCACCAATCCGGTTCATATTTTTTGAATTTATTTTTTTTTATAGACAGTACTCACAAAGGTATAACGATCAAGATTAACTTAATAATTGCCTGTAGTTCTCCTTTAAATAGGCTAATGCTTGATTATCATAATATAATATTTGATTGTCTGATTTTTAAGAGTGTACATTTAGATATTTAAAAAGCTGAGCCATTTTACAATGATAAGCTGATGTGGTGGAATTTTATATATATATATATATATATATATATATATATATATATATATATATATATCAGACTGGCGAGTAACCCAAAAAATTGACTAGCCAATGGGGATTCTATTGCCAAGGTGTGCATAGAGGGTTGTCCTTTTTGGGTTGTTTTCTCTTCTTTTTTTTTCTCACCCTTGGTTTGATATTCATCCTCCTGTATTTGCTTATGGTCACTGGGGCAAAGTTATTTGTTTGCACAGACTCACTTGGGAAGAACAGTGTCTGGTTTTGTTTCACACTTATGCACCGTTTTATTTGTGAAGGTAGGGCAAAATCTAGTTTCAGCTTTTATTCTCAGCCCTTAATTTGTTCTGCAGGAAGATCTAAAGGGAACTGAATTCAGCTCCTGTGAAGGTGACAGTAAGGTATTTGATGGAAGTCTGAATGTGGACATCCGTTTCCCCAATGAAGAATTTTACACTTCAACAGGTAAATGTATTTCCTGAAATCTTTTGGATCTAACGTAAACTACCATATTTGCCGTAATTACCACATATACTTCTTTAACAGAATCTGGGACTTTGAACAACTCCGCCCTAATTGACAAGATGTTTGAGGATGTCCTACAGCATGCAGAAAAGGAAGATAAAGGTGAAGAAGAGGAAAAGGAAGGAAATAAGAAAGAGGAGGTGGAGAAAGATGAGAGCAATTCATCACAGACTGAAAAGGAAGACAAAACAGAACCAGACACAATTAAAATGGAAAACAAACCAGAACCAGTCACAGTCACCTTAAATGAGGAGCCTCTTGACCACAGTGAGATGTGTGAAGACCGTGTAGAAACTCCTGAAGCCAGTTTTTCAATGGATGAAGGGAAGGAGGCCCAGTCTATTGACTGTAGTGAAGGAGAAATAGAGGGGAAACAGGAGATCGCCCCCATGGATGCTGAAGATGACTTTCTTACACTGCCGCCCAGCTGTATCCTCTCTCCTCTCAGCAAATCTGTGGAAGCTGTTGTTACACCACTGGTATACTGGCCTGGTTTCAGATATTTTAAATGATTTTGTAGTGGTAGCCAGTGAATGGGAGAAATTGCATTAATATGGCTGTATATTGTAGTCTATGAAACCCTAAAACAATATGCCTTTTAGCATAATTATGCCACTTTTCATATGAAATTAAAGCCCGATGTTTTCCCTTGATGAGGAATTCAAATATACAGATACATGCAACTTTCAGTTAGAGTGTGAGAATGTAATTGATTATATAGATTTAAATGTTTTTTTTGTTCCTACAGAAGATTGCAATCACTGTGTCTGAGGCATCAGTCCAACCACCCTCCCCTGAAGAAGTAACAGATATTCCTGCTGAAAATGTTCAACCTTTATACAGGTGTGTCTCACTTGAAAAAGAAGAACCTTATTGTCATTCTCCATCACTGTGTTTATCCTTGTTGGTATTTAAAAATGGTAGTGCATGTTGCCTACTAGTGACGGACTGATAAATCAGCCAGTTTTTCTTTTATAATAATATACACTAATGTTCATAAGTGTAGGTTTGTAAGATGATTTTGAATAATAACAGTACATAACAGTGTTATGTATCAGTCATGAGCCACTCTACTCTCTAGATTTTGGTCAGCCACTGGTATTTACCCTTTTAAATTACATACACGGGTCATTATTATTAACCATTGTTTAACCTATAATTGGCAGCATTGACGCCTACCGCTTACAGAGGAAGATTCACCAACCCTCTACTCAGAGCTTGACCCCTGGAGTTCAGAAGCAGGTTCAAGAGAAGACATGCTCAAAAAAGCCCATCAACATCAAGGAGAGAATTAAGGTTTGAAAGGGGGTCTATGGATTTTATAGAATTTATTTGTCTACCTGTAAGAGAGACTTATTCTGGGGTATTTTTAAGAGCCTTCATGCTTGCAGAAGTTGATGCAGGAGATTGTATTTGGTCCATTTAAGGCTTTAAATGAGGAGGCAGCAAAGTTGCAGACCATCATCACACAGACTCTGCAAGCTCTGAGCTGCTGCAGTGACGAGGAACACGGGAAGGGTTCCCAGCAGGAGGCTGAGGCTGAGAAACTTTTGCTTGTCTCCAGTAAGTGTAGTAGAACCCTAGTGAAAAAGCGTGAACCTTCCGCAAATCACTTAGAGCCAAATCAGAGCATGAAGCTTAATACGTCCCCGTAATGCAGGTGAGAAGCGAGCAGCTTTACTGGCAGAGGTCAGCCGGCTGAGAGAGGGTGAGTCTGTAGAACCAGAGTCCCAGAATGCAACTCTTCAGCCCTGCAGGGGAACTGTCAGCATCAGCAGCATCCAGCTGCCCCTCAAGGTGGAGTTTGTGTGCTCTGCTCGCGCAGGTGAGTGTGTTAATGCATATTTATTATTGGAAGCAGTTAAATCTTGATTGCGCAAGGTTTTGACTGTTGTCTCTATAAAGGCCGTCCAACGCACTACTTCTTCGTTTTGATCCGTTATGGCCCATGTAACATTGTCGCGACACCTTTGGCTACAGCTGTTGATGCCCAAAATGGAGACACCATCTCCTTCCCGACTTCCATCACACTGTGAGTCCTTACACTACATAAAATGCTCTTCTGCTTCTTTCATTTAAATGTAAAATATATACCTGGTTTTAATGTTTGCTTCCACAGACAAGACATCCGTTCCAGTTTTGAGATTGATGTTGAGGTTTACAGTTTGGTAGGTACAGCTCATATACGACCAAAAACATTAGTTTTCATTCATTCGAAGGGAAGTCGCCCCTCTCGCAAAATTTCTTATTCCCTCAGTTTGTAATACGGTTTTATTGTGTGTTTCTGTTTTATAGTCCAATACTCAGAGTAATACCAGCAGTGTTAATGCTCAGCAGTTTCGCAGCTCTACAAAGTCAAGGGTATGTACACTGCTATGTACAGAGCAGAGTGTTTTATTACTTATGTCAATGCACAGCTGCAACAGAAATGTTTGTGTTTCTAGGTGACACCCAAGAAGATTCTCCACAGCATCACAGTATGTATCTTCTCTCTCTGATTCATGAAACATGGGCTAAACAAATTTCTTTATTTTCTGTAATTGTTATAATGTAACAATCCATATTAAGAATGCTTTCACTCACAATTTAGAAAATAATTGTGCTTATGTATCATGAATGAGGTGCAATGTGTTTAAATTGGGAGAAAATTAATGAAAAATTGTTGAATGATATACAACCTCGTCTCATCCAAATGTGTTTTGTTTTCTTAGAAATCTAACCAGAGTGTGACGTGTAAGTATTTAACTAATTTCCTCATTTAATCATTGGTTGATTGGTGGTATCAGATATTGATATTTCTCATCTGTCCATTATAGCTGCTACTCTGCCTGGTCTGAGTGCCCAACGCTCTAGTAACTTTACATTAGTGGGCTCTCACAAGATCACCTTGAATTCATTGGGACAGAGCAAGTTTACTCTGGACAAGGTATTGATACAGCTAAACTGTGGTCACATTAGAGGGAAAAAAAGGAGAGGAAGTGTTCATGTGGTGTTGTCACTTTTGTAGGCACTTTTATCACTTACAATAATACATATTTAATACACTTTTACACTGTTAATTCTGGATATTCACTTTGGGAATTAACTAGGACACTAATAGTTGAATGGTGTATTGAGGGTTTGTCTTGTGTTTTGCACTGTGGTGGGAGTTGTGGTGATGTAACTGGGTCTCTGTCCGTCTCTCCTGTTTCTCTCCACTTAGATGAAATTTGATGGCAAAATCAGGCGACTCCTTGGAGATGAGTTTCTGGAAAAGGTGTCACTCTTTCCACCTTAGTCTCTGCCTCTGGTTTAGTGGGCATTGCACATTTTCTGTGTTTGTGTATGACAGAGTAAAATGCTGGGCATTACTGTATATTAATCTGTTTTCTGTTTGAATGCCCTGGCCTGTGCAAATTGCAATGGTCAAAAAAAAATATTTTATTTGCTTTGGGATAAATTTATCCCACAATATATCCCCTCTTTGATTCGCCTAATGCTCTGTGTTTTATTACTGAGATATCAGGGAATTGGAAAATCCTGGTCCTGGAAAATTAAATATTCATTGCTCTAGTTGTGCCCTGTAATATATTTAAATTCAAATGATATGCGTTTCATTAGAAGTAGTATAATTGTATTTCAAATTAATCTTCTTTGTTAGACATGTGCAATTTAACCAATTTGGTTATATTAGCCATTACATATAACCCATCTGTAGGGCCCTATGAAATCCATTTTTTTTAAAAGAGTCGTAAAAAGACGGTGCTTTTTAAAGTTAATGTATACAACTAAAATAGGAACGAATGACCTTAAATTTATTGAGGTAACAGACATTTACTCAGTAGCCTTTTCAGGGCAAATACTGCATGATGCAGTAACACTGCACTCTTCAAGTAACAACAAAATATGGTTATGAGCTTTAAACTGTCCAGTAAAATAAATTATATTAGTTTATATAAGTATAAAGTCACGCTCTGTCTCTCTCTCGACAAGTGTCACTCACGGAGTTTGCTTCGCTTTTGTACAGTCCAGCGCCTCGGACCGACTAGGTGTGTGTGTGTGTGTGTGTATGTATGTATGTATGTGAGAGAGACACGTGAGTGATAGACAGACGGAGGAAGAGCAGGGAAAGAAATACAACTGAAAAAATACGCTGCATGTTTTAAATAATGTTAAAAAAAAATGAACGAAACGGAATATGTGGCGGCGAATTAGTCTCTGTGTGGTAAACACTGCATAAAAGTCACATGCGAACTACTCGGCTCGGTTTCTTAACTTTTTCGCTGACAAAAGCAGAGCTGTGGAGAGCCGCTTCGCCATGCTTTCAATGTTTTGATTTCGTCGTTGTAGCTGAAATAGGGGTTTGCTTCCCCCGGTCTTCATTTTCATCAGACTTACGTTCTTCTCCCACACAAAAACAGAATTTCAAACCAAATATGTAAAATTCCACGTAATTCTGTGTCAACACTAGATTCCGCGCCAATTTCGCAATATGTTTTGTTTGTTTGTTGTTGTTTTTTTGTGACTAACCCATTTGTTGTTTTGTGTAGGTTCCCTTCCTCTCTCCTCTAGAGGGCCACATCTATCTGCGACTGCACAGTGAGGGCCACTCTAATGTCAAGCATCAGAGCTTTTTGGTGGGTTGGTGTATGTGTCCCAGAACCAGACTGATGCCTCAGTTGGCTGATTTTTATTACATGAAAAGGGCACTTAACATAGGGGCGGCAGTGGCTTAGTGGTTCATGTAGGTTATCTACAAACCGAAAGGTTGGTGGTTCAATCCCCGGTTCCACCTGACCAAGTGTCGAGGTGTCCATGAGCAAGACACCTAACCCCAGCTGCTCCCGACGAGCTGGATGGCACCTTGCATGGCTGACACCGCCGTCGGTGAATGAATGAATGAGTGTGTGAATAGGTGAATGTGAGGCAATATGTAAAGCGCTTTGGTGGCCATTAGGTCTATGAAAGCGCTATATAAATGCACTCCATTTACCATTTACCATTTAAATATCAGTGTTCCCTCAGTTAATTTGTATATAAGCAAAAATTTGACCATACAGTTGGCAATACATATTTACTCAACCAGATGTGTGAAGTAAGTGAGCAGTTTATCTTCATAGTTTTTAAATGAAGGTTTGAGAATGGCTTTGGAGACAATAATATGTCATGTTGTATAGCTGCAGCTGGTCTAAGAAAGCAGTAGTCAGCATAGCCAGACATCTGCCTGATGAAGCACTGTAAATTTGTGTGAATGAACGAGTGTGGGCTTGATGTCTGAGGAAGAGACTAATAAAGCAGTGTTCCTCCCCTATTACATCAGTGTGTTGGACCAAAAAATCTTTCGTTATTTATGATCTGTTTGTGTAGGAAATGTGCTGTGAAATTTATGTCTTTATTATTTCTTTTTCTACTCGTAGACCATGTTTGAGGATGTGAGTGGCTTTGGAGCCTGGCAGAGGTTCTACTTCATTCTGGAAGGGGGACACCTGCTTTACTGGAACAACCCCAATGAGATGGGTGACAAGGTGAGTTTGTTCAGCTATGTTTGTATGCAATGTGCATCCTTTCTACTCATTAATGTCTTTTTATCATCTCTTCTCCCAGCCAGCAGATGGCAGTCTCTCTCTCTTTGGCTTCTGCAATGTCAGGCCTGTGGAGCGAGAGTCCTGCGCACGGCCACACACCTTTGAGTTGGTAGAGACTAACACCCTTCAGCAAGAAGACAGCCAGACCTTGAAGAAGTAATGCATCCCCTTTCAACCTGCTTTGTATTGTTACAATGTCGATAGTATGTAGAAATTAACAACATTTACTCATTCTCCATGTTAGCTGGACAGAGAAATTCATGTTTATTTATCAGTTAAAGACTTTTGAAAGCCGAAAACGAATATAATGTAACACTTTATATATAATGTGACAATTTTTTTCCAAAAAAAGGGTCTTTTTACTATTTTGTCTTGCTCTTCAAAGAAAAAAAATCTATTACAAAACTACAATTTTAAAAATATTTATTTAACTTTGAACATTTCAAAATATTTATTTAACTTTGAACATTTTGTTTGCATTCTAGCAGACATACCTACAAAGCACAATAGGCTATAACTTAAATTATTCAACTAAAGATATTTTTATTCTTTGAGCTTATTTTAGGCTGCTGAAAGAATATAATGTTTTTATGCCTACAACAAAAACGTTTTTAAGGTATTTAAGGCTGCTGTCATTTTAAGACCAAATGCTTGGATCAATCGGTAATACAGTATGCTGACACATAACCATGACGATGGGCAGTTTGACTGATACCTCTGTGTCAGTATTTCAACATTCAGGCGCAAAGAGGAGGGAGCGCTTCTAGTGTGCGTCATTCAGCCCGATACAACGTTTGAGTTATTTTTTCACAACTTACTGCGCAAAATTAATAACTTGATACTATATGTGTGTCTCTGACTTCATTTTCACGCTGACTTGAATTAGGCCTACATTAAATAGTGCTGTATGATTTTGCAGATGGCACCTCTTGACAATTCAGCGGGACAGTGTCTCCAAATGTGGACATACACGCGGATAGCTCAAAATGTGTATAGATGACACGCCACTTGACTTGAAAGTGGTGTGTAGGGCTGGGTATTGAGACAAATTTCACAATTCGATTAGATTTTGATTCACAAGCTTGCAATTCGATTCGATTTTAATTACGATTCGATTCAATATCGATTATTTTGGATATCAGTTACAATAAATGCCAATTTTTCTCAAGGGAATCAAATCTTTTAAATGCTGTAAACTATGGGAGTCTAGTTGTAGCCTATAAGCTTCATTAGGGTAGGTAATAATTAACTGTTTTGTAGCTATACAAACACTTAAATTACACTTTTATTTATTTTTATAATAAGAAGATTATATGAAATGTAAACATTTAAATGGTGGCTGTCATAAAAACTTGCTAGATTTATTCAAACATGCATTAAATATTAACGAGTGTGGACTAACGAGTTTATGTGGGTTTTCTGAGGTAAATATGACGATACATGACATTGATTACAAGCTGTTTAACTGACGTCTTTCCATGGTTGAAACGCTGATTGAGCGTATCAATGTGACATTATACGGATTTTGTACTCTATCTTTTAACACACTTTCAGATGCTCATTTATGTTTATTTGGCGCTGTAACTGGTATTATTAAGCCGGAAGAGAGATCAGCGCTGCTGCTTCTCTAGAGCTGCGCCATAGCGATCTCACGCCACAGCGCCAAAACGCTATTTATGTTTTTGAATTTCTAAAGAAAATGGACGTAATTTGAAAATTGTTTCTTATCAATAGTAACAAAGGACAAAGATTATTGCGATTTTTTTTTGATTTTTTTTTTGGATGCACGCAGCCGTGATACAAAGTCCCATTCATTCAAATGAACCAGGATGACTAATCGATTCTTGAGATTTAAGAATCGATATCGGTTCGTAAAAATGAGAATCAATTAATATCGAGAAATCGATATTTATTACCCAGCCCTAGTGGTGTGCATATTTACGCTAAAATCATGATGCCATGTTGTTTGTTGTGCAGGTGCTGGTTTTCAGCAGACACACGAGAGGAGAGGTCTGAGTGGATGGAGAAACTAAATCAAACCTTACTGGACTTTCTTACCTGGAACAGGAAGCCTGTTTCTATTGATAATCGGGCCAGCACATCCTCTAACACTGGGACCTCTCGTGAGAGCATTCTGTAACACAACACAAATGTGACACCTCTCCATGTAACACTAAGAAAGGAGATCTTTGAGAATATCATATGTGGCGCACAAAGAGCTTCTGAGAATAAACTCAAAAGCCAAACAGGACTTTTTTACGTAATAGTGTATCATATTGTACATGTACTTGTGTATGTTCTACTGCTTTATTAGATGCATACAGAATAGTGGCATGATCTATCAGTACTTTTAGATTCTCTAAGGATGGATAGATTTTCCACATTGCCATCAATTTTCAGATAACCCATGTAGTAAGAGCAGTGCAGTTAATATATACGAGGAAAGTCTCTTGAGTGCCTATATGAATGTTTATTTATCTCCTGCCTTATTGACAATTGCCCATTATTGAATGAAAGTTTTACATTTTAATGCAATAATCTGTTCCAGTTTATGCTTTTGTGAGGGTGTCCTTAATTACACTAAACAATATAGCTATGTTTATGGCATTAGTTAGAAAGCACATCTTGGCTGCCTCTGACTAAAGCTTTTTATGTTTTTGCTTTTTCATTTACTCTGGGAACAATTTATATGACTGTCATACTGCAGTCGTCATCTAGAAGGGAGAATAGTTTTTATTTGAATGTACAATACAAGTACGTTGTGAATCGTATAGCTTATGATTTTTCTGGAAGGATGTTTTCATAGTATGCCTCCATATGACTTGATTTTGAAAAACATTGGCAGTTGTATACCTCAAAAAATGATTTTGGGAATACATGACCATGCATTATATATAATGAGGTGTACATTATATTTCAGGAGACAGTCTAGCCAGCATAAACTAAGCAATTGAGTTTATACTCTAATCTGATGGTCATATGGGGTACTTGGGTTCAAATCTGGAATGTGCAAGAGTAAGAATAACACTACAGAGCTGTCTGTCTGAAATGCCTTATTATAATTTACCATGCTTGCAGGGGGAGAGAGCAAGGTATGACCATGTGATCTTTTTGTGGTTTATTTGAAGCTTCTGATTGTCTTGAGAATGAAGAGTTGACACTCTAGGGACTCTGAGACTCTTAGGAAATGTTTCTGTGCTATGTATGTCCAATATATGTGTTTTTTCCAAGGGGCTCTCATGCTATTGCTGTGTTAAACTATATAAAGCTATATGAAATATCCTGGTAAAGGTGTTGTAAAATAAAAATGGCTGTTAAAGCCTCAAATATTTGTTTTTATTTTGAGCTTAAACTTGGCAGCAAATCTTATTTTTGCAGATCTGGCAGAATATCATTACAAGCCATTTTACTTATTAGAAATATGAGCACTTTGTATTGTAGTAAACCGTGTCCTAACTAAAAACTCCTGTTGTAGTTTAGATTTCTTTTGTTCTCTAATCTAGTTTATCCCTATATTTTGAAGTAAATGTTTTCTCAATAATTACTTGCTATGCCTTAAGTGTTTCCAAAGGAACTAGTATTTTCTTTATTATTTTACATAATCTAAAAAATACTAGTATTTTTATTAAGAAAATCATGTCAACTCAACTTTAATGACTCAAGTGTTGTCATGAATGTCTGAATACCAGATCAGATACACCTACTGGTAATGATCAGAAAAGAAACCAGATGTAGCACACACACTTCCATATATTTCTGAGAGACAAGTTAGCTTGTACTGCGTCAGGTGATTGTTCTAAGTTGGCTTATATCTGTATAGGCTTCATCCTCATAACCACTTAATAGTGAACAGTGAAATGATTGGCAATTATTGCTACTGAATTAATCCAAATGCTAGGTATCAGTTTAAGAGTTCAAGCAGTCGTTAGTTGATCTCCAGTATTTACATACAATTCGGTAATTGATTATCTAAAAGTCAACAATTAACCCAAATCATCTGTTTGACACCTTTCTACAGTACTTTATTGTAGTATCTGCAGAGTTAATGTCGTGCTGCTCCTGCATTGTTGCATATTAATTATGGAACAGTTTAATAAAGTCTTACCAGCAAATTCACCAGATGTACTGCTGTCAGTGCAATCTGTTGACAGTATATGCATCTCTGTAAAATAAACAATTCTCAGGAACTCATTTTTCCATGATGACATAGCAGCACTTTTGTCTATTTGTTCGCCCCGAGGCTTGAAGCATTTTGTTATATTAGAACATAAATACTTTCATTTTGTCGAATATTTTTTTTGTCACTTGTATGACAATCATGAATGTAGTTTGTTAAAGCTGTAACAAAATTGTCCATGCAATGCCTGTTTATGACTTCTGCACCTACGTATGTTTGCTTCATGTTTTTAAACATGCATTGTCTGACGTGAAGCTCATTGTCCTCTGACGCTTTGCCTTTAGCACCTTCTCATAAACATGCAAATGCACACACACACACACACACACATACAGTGGGATCAGACTTTACAGCACAGCTACCTAGGAAGGGAAATGCACAGACAAAGTGTGTATTTCATTACTCCTTTACATTGTGAGCATGAAGGGATATACCTGTGTTTTGTCTCTGGTGAGTGTTTAATTTACTTAACTTTTTGACTTATATTTTTGTTTTATGCATTGTCGTGGAAATTCTTAATATGAATACAACCTACTTAATCTGACCTCTTCACCATGGACAATTTAAACAACTTCCAGTTGTTAAAAATAACAACTAATAGCTAATCATATGACTGTTAGTTCTACTCACTGTAAAAAATATTTTCAAGATTTGTTATCACAACATATTTTCTTTTGTCAAATCAACTTTATAATAATTTATTTAGTTGAGATTACTTATTATTTTGAGTTTCTGATGGTTAAATTGATCTACTTCATTGTATTAACTCACTTTTTCCAGTTCAATCAACTTAAAATTTTAAGGCAACCCAGGTTACTTACTTTATTAAGTTGAACCAACAATATTTTTTTACAGTGTAGTAATCACAACACTTTTTCTTTGGTCAAATCAACTTAAATCATTTATTTAGTTCAGATAACATATAATTTTGAGTTTCTGATGGTTAAATTAATCTCCTTCATTGTATTAACTCACTTTTTCCAGTTCAATGAACTTAAAATTTTAAGTCAACCAGGTTACTTACTTTTTTAAGTTAAACCATCAATATTTTTTTACAGTGTGTGTTAAGCACTTTTTGGTTAAGTAAATATGGCCTTTGACCTGAGCATCCTTAGTCTTCATTTCTCTGAAAATACCCATTACAAAAAATATTTCTATTACAGCATGTTGTGATGAAGACACCATCTGTGTGTATTTTTGTCTGTAAAAGTTTTAATTTAAATTAAATATTTTAAATGTACTGTATATTTAGATTTGTTTTCTTTCATTACTTAGTCATGTCATTCTTTTGAAATTAATCATGGTATGAGTGTGTATAATCCTTAAAATTAGTCATGTCTGAAGATTTTATTATAGAAAGTAGAACAATTAATGCATCAGAATGAACATAGTATTCTGTTTTCCAACTTTATAGGAGTATGCAAAATGATTCAAGTGAAAAATGATACATTTTCTGATTACTTGAAATTTTTGAAATAATTGTAATTTGAAATCACGCATAAAATGATGCATGCTTCTTTTGTGTTTTAACAGGTGATATTCACAATCCATGGAAAGCTCATACCAGTGTATTTGGAAGCCATTCAACAGAGACAGTTCATACTTGACACGAGAAACAGCAGCCCGCTTTGGCAGGTATATGAATTGCCCTATGATATATATATATATATATATATATATTATAAAACTGTTTTCTGATTTTCCTTTATTATTTCTAAAAGTATTTAGTAGTTCCAAAAGGTTTTTGGATGTTTATTTGAAATGAAATTCATTGCAAAAACAAGTGGCATCTGTGAGATTTTTGCAATTCAATTTATTTCAATTTTTTTGTGTGTGGATTCAAGCCAGTTTCTTGTTCACAAGCACAACCATAGTTCATAATCGTGACATTAAATATGAAAATTGTCTACCAGTGTCTGACAACCATAAATTGTCAAAATACATTTTAATCATAATTTTTTCTAAAAACATTTTGAAAAGTGTTTGTGCTATCTTGCTTCGAAATTAAGGCAACTTGTATATTGGATTTTAAAAAGAGTCCAAATACTTTTTGGAAGCATTTGTACTGAAGTTTAAAATCTTTTAAAATATTAACATATTTTGGTTATTATATTTAAATCTGCCTTTCAGAATAGCACATCTCCAGAGACCCATAATGTCTTGATGAGGGTCATTCCCAGGCCAAATAATGGCATGATCAGAAGAAAGAGGGATTGGTTGATTCCCCCTGTCAGCATTTCTGAAAATGACATAGGCCCATTCCCAAAGCAAGTGGTGAAGGTGTATCTCTCTTCTGTGTCCTTTTTACTTTGAATCCTATATTCTTTGCTCCGTCTTTATTTTAACATTTCATAAAATAAGAGTTGTTCTCTTTGCTTCTATGTTTTGCTCCAAAGATGAAGTCCACCGCTGCTGATTCCATGAAAATGATTTATAAAATAACAGGTGCTGGAGCCGACCAGCCTCCCGAGGGCCTTTTCAAAGTGGAAAAATATTCAGGCATGTTGTGGGTCACCAATTACCTCGACAGAGAGGAAATTGAAGAATACGTTGTGAGTGACCTGCAGTAATCGAAGGATCTCTCAAACATAATAAAGTTAGTGTGTAACTTTATAGAAGTAGTTTATGTTGATAAATACTGTATGTTATGTGTCTGTGCACTTGAGCAGCTCACAACTCATGCCGGAGCAGAGGATCAAAACTACACTGAACCCCCTGTTCAACTCACCATAAAGGTTCTTGACCAAAATGACCACAAACCCTTCTGTACCCAAAATCCTTTTATGGGAGAGGTCCTTGAAAGGGCCAAACTAAGTAGGATGTGGAGATCCTTCTATCCTTCTCAGAAATATCTTTCAATAACTAAACATTTGTTTCTTAGAAGATACAATAACACAAAACACTATGTTTTATTCAGATGTGCCTCTCATAAAAGTGACAGCAGAGGACCTGGATGACCCCAAAACCTTAAACGCCATTGTGCGTTACAAACTGGTGAGGCAGGATCCCAACGTTGGCGCATTTCGCATTGACCCAACCAATGGATTCATCAGTCTGGCCTCTATGGGCATTTTGGACAGAGAGGTATTAAAACTTAAGTGATTTTGCTCATGTAGAGACCGGTTGTTATAAAAACTAAAGCTATTATAAATACATTTTTGTTGTGTAGCTCAGGGCTTCAGGCGACCTGTGTTCATGTCACAGCTTGTGGTCCTTTATAGTCTTGCCTCCACTTTGCTTCCTGTCAGTTCCCTACGCTCAGTAAAGTAAAAAATTCCAAAAAGAAATCTTTAAATATTATATAAATATTAGACAAACTTAAACTTAAAGGTGCAGTATGTAATATTGATAGCTAGTGTTTGAAACTGGTACTGCAGTCCAAATTCTAAATAGAGGATCACAGTCCCGCCCACAGCCCGAGAGAGCGCTGGTGCCGGAAGTAAATTTCCCATTCATTTCTCCCATCGACATTTTGTAAAATCCATATCTAAAGAGTATAAGAGCATGTCTGAGGATAACCAGCTACGACTGAACTCATAAGCATACAACACATCATTTCGAGTGAAAAAACGAAGAGAAAATCCAAAAAAGGTCAAAAGTACAAGCCTGTGTACATATTTCCATTTCCGAGCAAAGGAACTACACCTCCCATAAACCACCGCGCCTCACTAAAGTCGGCTGAAAGCCTCCGTGAAAGAGCCTTTTGAGTGACTTCCAAATCTGACGACGGCCGCGTGAACTTTTTCCTCGATTTACTGAAGCTTATGCACACGCTAAAACATTGAGCATCTGGTTCGCTCATTGGCTGTGCTGTGGCTACTGTACATCCAATGGCGCGGGGTCGTCTCTGAGGTGCGACCAATGAACTTAGCCCTACATCATTACGCGATCTTCAGTCTTCACGCACCTTCGCGGGGTTTCAGAAACGTGACACGACTTCCACCAATCAGATGCATCCCTGTGGGATTGTTCAGGATTGTGGGTAATGAAGTATTTATCCAAAACATCGCGAATAAAAGGGATTTATCTTAAAACAAGGTTAGTGCTCCATGATCTTTTGGCGTTTATATGAGCATATACAATCGCTTAGTACAGCCGTAGCTGGTTTTCAGTCTACCATGTATGGTTACGTTTTTATGGCGTATATCCCAAAT